TTCCTACAATGAAAAAATTAGGAGTAATATGTTTGGACAAATGTATATATACTACTAAGGCCTATGCGGATTCAGCATGAATTGACAAGTTTTACGCTAACTATCAGTGGGCTAGCAAAAATTGTACTGGCGCCCTATTTGGTCGCTTCCATTTAATATGTACCCTCTTTTTAATTTTTTTTAACTTGTACCCACTTTTTAAACAACTTAACTTCAGACTTTTTTCTCCTCCTCCTCCTCCTTCTCCTTCTTCCTCCTCCTCCTCCTCCTCCTCCTTCTTCTTCTTTTGTTGCTTAGGGTGACTGTGATCTTATATGGTGTTTGTGAACATATTTTAAGGTAGTTTATGATATTTTTACAATGGTGAGCTGTTGTGGCGCTTTATTTTTTACTATTGCTTAAGGTTTCTACTTGTTCTTTTTCTTAATTACAAAATGGGTTTGTTAGATTTATTGTTGTTTTGACAAGTTGATGATTTGGGTTTGTTTTTGATAATATTTGGAGGTTATATTTTAAATTTGAACTTATTTGGAGTAGATTTAGGTATTAAATTGAATATTGAATTGTTAAAATTCGAAGAATAAATTTCTGTTTCTCGGCAATTTGCACTTCAGGCCTATTTGACCTTAAATGCATGAAAACATTTGTTGCACTTTAGACCTTTTGGCTTTAAGTGCATTTAAAGTGCAATTTTTCATTTCAGACTTATTGGCCTTAAGAATAGGAAAACATTTGTTGCACTTCAGACCTTTTGACCTTAAGTGCATCTAAAGTGCAATTTTTCACTTCAAACTTATTGGTCTTAAGTGCATGAAACCATTGGGTACACTTCAGACCTATTTAGCCTTAAGTGCATCTGAAGTGCAATTTTTCATTTCAGATTTATTGGCCTTAAGTGTAGGAAAACATTTGTTGCACTTCAGACCTTTTGGCCTTAAGAGCATCTGAAGTGCAACTTTTTTACTTCAGACGACCATAAGTACTGCATGAAACTATTGGTTGCACTTTAAACCTATTTGGCCTAAGTACATCTGAAGTGCAATTTTTTCACTTCAAACTAACTTTTTTTTAATTTCAGATCCAATATGTTTGAAGTTGATCGTAAAGTGGGTGCGTAGGCTTGCAAATTTTTTTTGCAAAATGAATATAGGTTCAATTGTGACTCTAAAATCGGGTATAAATGCAAAGGTCCGGCAATATGAACCAAACCCATACTGGCGGAGTTGTATTGAAAAATGTTCGGTCAATGCATGAATTAAGGCAATTTCTGCTTACACATATTACATGCGTTTCTTATCACTGGTCGAAGATTTTGTCTAGAAAAGATGTATAAGTATTCTGAAATAGGTCGGGTCTTATAAATTGTCTAGGATATTTAATTTGTCTCCTTTTGGCGATGAACATGGGAGTCCCATGTTTTACATGACCCAAAAAGCCATATGACTATCTTTTGTCTATATACGGAATTTAAATTTACTTTCGTTTCTATATATTACAGTAGGAACAAAAATCAAAGTGGTGATTAAAAGGTTAATCAAATGAATAACATCGCATATTTAAAAAAATTAAAATTGTATAAAATAGTGTAATTGTGCCAAATGATTTGAGATATTATCCCAAACTAGATATCAGAGCTACACGTATAAATCCACGTATATGTTTAGGAGTAAGTAGATGAAAACATAATCTTTTTCTCTCAAAAATGTATATATGTATAGAGAGGGAGGGCTTAATAAAACAAAGTTGTTGTCCGTCACCATCTTCTGCAATGTCATAATTCAAGGAGGAAATTGACACAATCAAAGAAATAAAGACTAGTTCATCATGATTTCAACCAAACATTGGGGACCATAAAATTAGGCATCATAAGGTTATTTGCGAAGATTAATGCAAGGGACATGTCTCTATCAGGCACCTCTAAGTACAAATGTGGCCTAAAACTAAAGTTTAACGTGAGATCTAAATCTTTGTTCTAAAAGTTATACTAATGTATATTTTTATTTGACGAAGTCTATTCAACTAGCTTTTTGAGATACAAAGTTGTTAATAATTTTTGTATAACTGATATCTTCTAATAATATAGCCAACTCATTTAATCTTTCTTGGGACATTGTTGATCTTAGCTAAGATTTTTTTATTTTAGTTTGAAAATTTTATTTCCGTTGAGACAACTGTTATGTAGGAACTGTTAACATTAGTCGATAAGTAATATAAGCATTTGGAAAGAATCAAATCTTTTTATTTGAGTGAGTATATCGATTAGAGCAGTAACTTCTACTTGTATTATTTTATTTAACACTTTTAGTGCAAAAAATAAGGCTAAATTATCAATATTAGATTTAGAGTGACTATTTAGAGATTCAGGAATATTTTTTTAGTTTCTCGCCATCTAAGTATCTCAATCTTTTACCATTAAATATGAATCCAACAATATTTTAAATCGTTTAAATCTGTTTTGAAGTGAAAAAAATGACTTCATCAACTCTCAAAGATTCTTCAAGAGACTTTGTGATTTTTGTAGACAATAAATTTGCGTCGAGAAAATAAAATCAAGACCGAAAAATATCGCAACAATCATAGTATTTTATTTCAAATATTTGAGTGTTAAAATCTCTATGATCCTCTGATTCTACTTTTCTAGTATAAATTCAAGGGCCTTTGAGCTTGATCTTGAATTGTAATTTGATTTATCCGTCACAAACACTTTGATTGCTGCCACGAATTTTATCACAAACAAGTAGCCTTGATCTTGAACGCCTTGTATTTGATTTGATTTCGTTCTTGATCTTGAATACTTGAATTGTTCTTCGTTCTTGAGCTTGAATTTGAACTTGATTGCTTGAAGCTTGAAACTTGTAGAGAAATTTGCGGCGTTTGATCCACGAGCTCTCTCTTGCTTCTTGTTATAACTTCTGGTATTTTTTCTGAGTTATGAAGACCCCTATTTATAGTTGTGGAAGGGAAGAGTTGTGATAAGAACAAACGCTTTCCGACCAATCAAATTGAAGTGTGACATGACCGCATTTGATTGGCCAGAATATGTCCCTTGCACATGTGGCGCGATTTCATTGGACTTTTAGTGTGACTGGGCATGCCTTGTCCTTTTGACACATGGCACGATCCTATTTGCTCTTTCGTTTGACTTGGCGCGCCACGTCATTTGACATATGGCACCAAACTGGGTCTCTAGGAAGATAATATTTTGGGCTTAATTAAGTGGGCTCATCACTTTAGCCCAATAGATTAAGACTTATTTATTTAATCCATAAATGTTGGACCTATATAATTAATTCATTTATATATTAGCCCATAATATTTATTTGGACCAATATATCTTGAATTTAAAATATAGTCCAAATTATTTTATGGATTTAATTTAAATAAAATTTATATGCCTACAATTTTATTTCAAGATTCCCATCAAATTACTTAGTTCTATAATTTACACGTTTANCACCAAACTGGGCCTCTAGGAAGATAACATCTTGGGCTTAATTAAGTGGGCTCATCACTTTAGCCCAATAGATTAAGACTTATTTATTTAATCCATAAATGTTGGACCTATATAATTAATTCATTTATATATTAGCCCATAATATTTATTTGGACCAATATATCTTGAATTTAAAATATAGTCCAAATTATTTTATGGATTTAATTTAAATAAAATTTATATGCCTACAATTTTATTTCAAGATTCCCATCAAATTACTTAGTTCTATAATTTACACGTTTATTACAATTCATGAAACTCAGTTTAAATATTTATCTCAAATGAAAATTTATTAACTGAAATCATAGCAGTTGTAAATCCTTCTGCTCTATTTTTTTAAAAGAAATCAAACATCTTAGTTGCTATGACAACATCAATGATTTACTTGTTAATTTAATTCCACTTCACATGTTAGGAAAAATAATTACTTTACTCATTTTTAAGTAAGCCAAATAGTTACTTTATTTATATATCTAAAAAAAAAAGATCACTTATATGAAAAAATCTACTTTTGTATTAAAAATATTAAATATTAATTTTTTAAATATCTATAAACCGATTATTTTTTAAAAATGAGGCCCCCAAATTTGGGGGCATAAGACACAAGTCTTATTAGATAATACATTAAAGCCGGCCCTAGACTCTCCATATGGTTTGCCTCCGTTTGTTAAGTGAAATACAACAAAGTTACACAGTAATATATTCTAATGCAAGTATTAGTAGCTGATTTCACGACTCGATCACATGATCTATTGCTCACAGCTTTACCGTCGTTCAACTCAAAATCATTTCTCAAACAAATTTTCGTTAATTACAACTTGACCAAAGAAAGATTGTCCCTCGTTCCCTTTAAGATTATGTCACTTCTTTTTTTTAAGGGTAGATAAGTAACTTAACGGCCTTTAACCTACTGGTTGGAAATCAATATGTTGGAATACTTTTCACCCATTCAATAAAATCTTTAATAATGATTCAATTTGCATCCAACTCATTGTTATTTGCCCTTTAAATATCTCTCACCTAACCTGTTAAATTTTGGACGAATTACATAAACATCGGTTAAACATTTAACACATGCCTAGTAATGATTAAAACACGAATTTTACCTTGATTATAAGAAACTTGCCAGTTGCTGTGTAAAGGATAAGGAAATTCAAGCTTGAAAAGTTGAAACTAGTGATGAATTGGTTGTACCTCAACAGAATTATAACCAGTGAAGGTATGTTCTGCGTTCAACTTGTTGTGTGCCTCAGTCAAAGCATAGAAATTGAAAGGAGTTAATTAGGCACGTTGAATGAAAAGGAATGTCATCAAGACTTGAAAATTAGTGGATTCCAACTGTCTGCTACGCGTTATTGATACAGTCTTTTTCAATTTGATTCTGCTTGCCCACAGATTATATTAGTGACCTTTCCCTGTTATACAATCTAAGTAGTTTCTTCAACGGTTATACTTAATAATATCATTCTATTGAATCACTTTTGACAATTTTGCATTAATCAACCTTGCTGACTATTCTTATCCATATCCATGAAACCTCCTCCTGCAGACTTTCTCCACTATAAATACATGTCAGCCATTCCCATTTCTTACATCAAAACTTATTGAGTTAAACAACATCCAAAACTCACCCATTCAAAAGAAGAAAAGCTACTATATTTATCCTTATGGAAGGTCTAATCCCATTTCTCCTTCACGCCATGAAGAAACAGAAGCCTCACCACAATACTTTCCGGTGTCTCTCCGATACCTCTAACCGGAGCTACCACATGCTCGTCGGAGCTGACTCTATAGAGGGCTCTTCTCATCGGAGAACTCGATCAGAGTTTCAGCCTCCGGTTAGCGTTGATTTCTTGGAGCTGTCCCAGCCTAAAAGCTTCAATTACAGAGCTTCTTCTCTGGTTTCTCCTGTTTCGAACAGATTGACTACTACGAGCAATTTACAAGGAACTACTACAGTTGATAATCTCCGCCATAGGAAATTCTGATGCTACAGATTACGTTTAAAAAAAAATACTGATGAATAATTTGTACTTTGTTGTGTTCTTTCTTTAAAATCTAGACAAGATGATTAAGTGTACATGTGCAATATTTGTTTGATTCTTTTGTAATACATACTGTTGTTTGAATATATAAACTTGTGTGCTTTTTATGTTATTTAATGATTTTTTAGGTCTATCCTAGTTAACAATTCTTTCTTTTTTCTTTATCTTATGCAGCTCGTATCATTTCTTTTGCTAGTTCAATTGAGACTCCATAATAGAGTTGGGTGTTTTATCAAGATACCACATTGTGGTGACTCCGTATTGTTGGAAAACGAAATGTTGTAAAATAAACTAACGAGCGAGAGGTTCCGTAAGTGAAAAATTTCTTAACTTAAAAAATATAATACTAGTAATTAGGATGTAGAAAGAATTTGGCCATCATTTTTGAAGGAAAATTGTAGCCATTAAAGTCCAGCCTCCAACATTTTAAATGATTCATAATTTGGATTCCTTTTACTAGCAGTCTTCTCTGTCAGAGCTCGTCGCCTAAAACAGTTTATATCTCCTGTGTCATTTGCGGGTTATTACACATTGAGCAGATTTTTTTCTAAAAAATTTATTTTATTGAAGTATGACGGTATAACAATCTGACAAAAGGGTTGGATGTGTGCAAAATTAAGAAACGAAAAAATAAATTTCATGATTCCTTCGTGCCATTAGTCCATTCTTAAGATAAGATTTCTTACCAAAGTTGAAATTGCTTCTCAAAATCTATTCCTTTAACAGGTTGATATGTCAATTATTTTCTTAACAAATGAGGGATATATTTGAGAAAGTAATCTCTAACTTTGCTAAATATACATTGACATACTTCCAAAATAAATTAAAACCTTGCTTAAAAGTTACAAATTTCAGTAATAACTTAAGACTCAAGCTTTAGTAATCTATACTATATTAAAAGTATGAATACCCTTATTAAAATATCGTTCGCCTTTTTTACCCTTTAAAAAAGACTTTACATTCGACAAAATAGTAAACTAAGTTATTTTCCTAAACTAAGCTTTAATTTTGAGTTAGCAAAAGCTAAGTTATCAATTGTTCTTTATCGATGGTTTGCAGCTTCTCTTGGTTCCTTGTCTAACGTCATTAAAGATATTCATGCTCAATTTTCAATAGTTTCTTAATACACTAAGAACTTTTATAAATTTTAATTTATGCTCTATCCGTTTACTTTTATTCTCTCTGACATGCCATTCTTTATTCAAGTGTTTTTCTAATTTTGTACTTAAAAAGTCATTTTTTATTATTATTGCCTTCAATATATTGAATTGGCACTGAAGCGAGCAATAATAGATTCTTTTTTAATTGTTAATTTTGTTAAACATAGGAAACATGATTGCTTTCTCTCATAGTTTAAGGTACAATTAATCCATAAATAGTAAAAACATTACAGATGTATATCAGCCCTGTGATTTCACTATTTGTTGAACAAAAACTATAATCAGTATATGCTTCATTGGTAACGTGGAAAAAAGAAATATACAAATACTTAATTTCATATTTTCTCTATTTGTGATCTCGCGTGGCTGCTGTTCCTTGAGAAACATTAGTTGGTGTTTTTTTTTAAATATCATGTAAAATTCACCAGTAAAAGTAGAATACAATAACATACGTTCTTTTATAGGGCTTAACAAAACTCTCTAGACATTTTTATTGTTTAAAGGATAATGAATTAAAAAACATGAAAGATGGCTAGAGTATAGATACACAACTATTCGATAGCAACGTAAAAGAAACCAAGTAAAAACAAAAAAATATAAATCACACGAGTGGAAAGTTATTAATCAAGTTGGGACTCAAGAATAAAGTCTACATAAATATACAAAACGATAAATCTAAATTATATGGAAAGAAACATATTCAATACATTGTAGTTTGCTACTCATAATCGCTAGAATACTTTGTGTCTTGCTAATAAAGATACTTGAAATAGCTTAGTTTAAGTATAAGTAGCATAATAGGTTTTAGGAATTAGTATTTTGAGTTTAATTACTTATTGGCTTGTAACAATTTTCATAATTCCAAGGCCCAATGAAAAATTTAATGCTTTATTAGTTTTAAACTTACTATATAAATAAATTTTTCACATGTAAAATTTAGTCGGTACGGTTCGATCTACTCTAATTATCGGTATGGTTATAGATTTATATAAAAACATACGATTTCTTTAAAGAAATCTAAAAATTGGTTCGGTTTTGTCGGTTTAGTCGATTTTCAAATATCGATTGACACCCCCTATGTCAATCTATTTCAGGATTAGAGCATCAATTAATGCAATCAAAATTTAGTATTTGTTCTCTCTTCTCTATGCAACTTTGTTTCAGGGCAATCAAAATATGGACGAAAGTTTTGGGGAAAAAGTATATCATGGAGTGTCAAACTAATATATTTGGCTTGATAATTATCGCATTTGCAAAAGCCCTAACTTTTTTGGTTGAAAAAACTGAAAAGTATGAAGAACTTGAGAGATTCAAATTCTGAAAGGGTGAAAATTAAAGGAAGGAAATTGAAGAAGTAAGTTTTTTTTTAAAGGTGGAATTACACATCACAAATTCCCAAAGGGTGTAATCAGTAATTTGGAACAAGTCTTAGGGTGTTTTAATGTCCTATCCAAAACTTAATAGGTTTATATGTCAAAATTCAAACATTAAGGGGATGACATGGCATTTAAGCAAAACCATAGTCTTTCTGCCGATGGCAAACGCCGGCGTTAGCAGATCGTTCATTGCCCTTGTCCCCAATTGAATTGAAGGAAAGAATAGCTTCTTTTCTACTACTGGTAAGGTCAAGTGCAGGAATGCAATGGCACTAAAATCAGTGTTCGATGCTTCAGTAATCAGGGCTGAATTCGACAAGGCCAGTATCAACACTCGCTTCATACCTCTTATTTGGAAGTAAGTTTATCCGTCTCTTCCTTTATGTGTCTTATTATTAATAACACAAAAGTTATAATTTTTTCTGTTTTGTTTTGTTTTGTTTTGCTCATGATTATACACATGAATAGGTATGTGATACAGGACCCAGATTGCGATTGGGAAGATATTCCATCTTTGCCCTCCTCGGCTTACACTTTGCTTCGTTCCAAGTTCAGAACTACAACTTCTGTTGTCCACTCTGTCTTGGAGTCCAACGACGGTGTCACCACCAAGCTCCTCATCAAGCTCCAGGTTTTACTTTTTAGCTGACCTAGCCCGCAATCATTTTTAATAAGTTTTGTCAAATTCATATTTCACGCTCAAAATATATTGTAAGAGAAAAGGCAATTCATTGACAAAAGCACCAAAGAGGGCATAACCTTTAATTTATCATGGTGGTCTCGGGGTCAGCTTGGACGCACATTGACTAATCCCAACAAAGTACCGAGCAACTCTATCCACCAAAGAGGACATAACCTTGTTTTATTGACCCGTTTATTTGGAAATAAACCAAAAACTAATCCTTTATAATCCCCCCTCCCGCAAAGATGAGAATAGTACTATGTAATTTGATTTTTTACTATTGTTCTAATACTACTTGTTAGAAGGTGTGAGGCGTTGGTGTGCTCTTTTTTGTGATTTAAATATTTCTGATTTTATCCACTTGTTAAGAAAAAGGGCGTTTATAGTATCTATACATAAAACTCTGGCTTTACAAGCATATCACATTGACATCAATTTTCTGATAAAATATCCTATTGACATTGTTAAATGCTAGAATGGAGCATTTGTGGAGTCTGTGGTTATGAGATACGACACGCGCTTGGGGAAATATAATGGAAAGCCTCGTCCTGGAGGACCAAGATCAACCTTGTGCATATCGTCTCAGGCATGTCATTTCGTTAGCTCTATTTATTTATTAGTAAAAGGCTTGTTGCTTGTTAGGTGCAAGTTATGTTTTCCTTTTGGCATGCCTAAGTATTTTATGTTTTGTTCTCTTAGAAAGCCGTTTTATGTTGACCAGACACTCTTTTCTTATAGGTTGGATGCAAAATGGGCTGCACATTCTGTGCTACCGGAAGCATGGGGTTCAAAAGTAACCTGTCTTCTGGAGAGATAGTTGAACAATTGGTCCATGCCTCTCGTTTATCAACCATCCGTAATATTGTTTTCATGGTATTTCTTTTCCCCTTTCTGCAGAATTGGTTTTCTCCATAATAGCTGTTGTTTACTCAATGGTGGATCTAGGATTTGAGGGAAGTGGGTTCTAAGTTCTAAGTGCCGCTATTCATTTTGCTCTATCACAACGTGAAACCCTGTCTCTCTCTTCTCAGTTTCACTCCGTTCTCTGCAACTTTATGACATCCATGATTAAGAAGAAAAGACAGAATTTAGAATAATGTAACAGTTTTTGGTCTATGCATCTTTAGTATGGTTGTTAGGAACGGGATGGTGGGCACTCAAGGCACCAAAGTTGTGTCCATTTATGGGTTAGTTCAGCTGTATGGGTCATGCTTGTGCTTCAGTTGCTGTATTGAGCTTTCTTGTTGAGGTTACTTGATAATGATGCAACTACAGAGACATTCTTCTATTACTAAGAAGCTATATCCTTTTTGTCATTTTCTCTTTTCTTGTCCAAAAAATTTAAAAAGCCATCCATATCAAATAAATAGGTAAACAAATAAATGAAGTTAACAGTTTGTCATCTAAATAAACATTGAGGCACTTGAAGTACAGACGATAGTAGTTTTTTACTGGTAGCTGCCTAATGCTTGTGTTTTTTATGGGAATATCTAGATAGATTTTCAAATTTGAAATCATCCAGTCAAAATGACTAAGAATTTTGGATCTCTTCATGTTTTTTGACTTTCTTGGTTCACTATAAGTGTTTTCTGTCATTTATTTTTTAATTTGTTTCGACTCTACACATTCGTGAGTCTTCATTTTGGTTGCATTATCATCCAACTGGTGGACAGGGAATGGGGGAACCATTGAATAACTACTCTGCCCTGGTGGATGCCATACGAGTCATGACAGCATTTCCATTTCAGCTCTCTCCTAGGAGAATTACAGTCTCAACGGTATGAATGACCCTGTGATGTCTTTTCCTCTCAAGTTACAACGTTGTTGTATGGTTTCTCACCTTGACTTCTTGAGGCACACTCACTTTTATATACTTGTTCTGGTACTTTTTGTAATCAATTTCCCCATGTCAGGAAATCACTTTCTCATAATTAGCTGTTTAGTTGCATTCTTTTATAGATCACATGAACATCAATATAACCAATTAAATGTTTTGTAGGTCGGGATAATTCATGCCATCACCAAGCTCCACAATGACGTCCCAAATGTGAACCTGGCTGTCTCTTTGCATGCACCAGTCCAAGAAATCCGTTGTCAGATAATGCCTGCAGCAAGAGCTTTTCCTTTGGAAAGACTCATGAATGCACTGCAGGAATATCAAAAGAAAAGGTGTTGTCTGCAATTGCCCTGTTATATTTCAGTAGCATTCACTCCCTCCTTCGCATTTTATATTATGCCATTTGAGTTGCATGGAGATTAAGATTTTAGTTTAATTTATGTATCATACATTTTTGGACTGTTCCAAGATGGAAAGAGTGGCATAAATTAAGGCACATAAATTATCTTTAATGTCCATGATAACCAATTTGGTAGCTTTGGCAAGTTGCTGAGAGATCTTATCTGCCTTCTTTGTAGCCAGCAAAAGATCTTTATTGAATACATAATGCTTGATGGAGTAAATGATGAGGAGAAGCGCGCGCATCAGCTCGGGAAATTGCTAGAAGCATTTCAAGTGGTGAGTTTTAAGAATATTATATAGATTATGCCTAATGGTGGGATGTGAGTATGTATGTGGGTTAATTTATGCTTAACGCACTTGAGCTGTATCAGTGGATGCATTCCAAACAAAACCATTAGTTGGTGGGAAAAGAAAAAGGAAAAAAA